TGTCGGTGACGTAGGCTTGAGTTTATTTATTTATTTATTGGGGGTGTTGGGAATGGTATTTAGGGTTGGTGTAGTTTTCCATCTTCCATCTTGCTTCTCCCACCCTTCCTTCAAACATTGCCATCACATACCCATACCCACACTCCCCCATCTACCCTGCTATACCGTACCCTACACCTCCACCAATCCTTTGTCCTCCAATACGATCCCCGGGATCGGGAATGACGTAATGGGGATCTTACCGTACTTGCTTGTCCACATCTTGGCCTTGGCCTTGCACGTAACGTTACGGGTTATGATTATTCGATGGAGGCGGCGCATACACTGTACTGCATCCGTATCCTATGGAGACGGGATAGGTAGGGTAAGAGACTGCGCGTTGCGCTGGATATTGGGATGAGTTGGTAGGATGACTTGTGAAGGAGAGGGTTGAATGTGGAGATGAGATGGAGATGAATTTTGCGGATGAATACGCATCGGACGGTTGTTTAGTTGGAGACGACTACAGCAGGAATCGGACACCCTTCGCAAATAACATCACACATAGTCCTGATGATGTAACGCGTGCTTGCGAGACGTTGGTCCTACTATACGAAAATGTGTGTGAGATGGTGTTCCTGTGCATGCCCAAGTGCGCAATCGCAACGAGTCCAGCAAGTTTGGCGACCACGATTGGTTATATTCCAAAAAGGAAACACAGAGTCAAACGGGCGTCGGGCTCGATTCTCGTGGCCATGCACCAACGCAGATGTGACATGGGTTTGCTTTTGCATCCTCATCCTGCAGGTCATGGTAGCTGACTCAGTTTTGCGAGGCAGCCTCATCCATCCATGCGCAGCAGATGCCCTCTACCTTTTTGACAGCATTCAAAACACGACTCCATTTTCCCGTGGCTGTGCGCGCTTGCGAATAGTTAGATGCGGACGGAAATGCATTGCTACGAGCGGGTCCTGCTTGTATTTTGGGAAATCAATCGACAGCCAGCTGGGAAGCGTTCCCCACTGTGCGTGCGTGACGGGTGGGGGTTTGCAGACAAATGGGAATACAAGTCTGGTGCACCCAAGGCGGAGTTTCAGCTAGCCAACTCCACACTCAACCCACACACACACACACACACACACACACCTTCTGTTCTCAGTAAGCAATCTACCGCATCTTCAGAGGTCGAACAAACCGATATTGAAATCATGCTGCGGCTGAACACTTCCGGATCTCGAGGTAAGCTTACCGCGGGCATAGATCCGACCACACGTTCTTCATCGGGTACCCATCCAGCTTTCCCGAAGCAAGGCTCCAGCACACTTGTCGGGTGCATAACCTCTTAAGCCAGGCGAAAATCTTGTTCTCCCTTGGCAGATTGCCTACTTTATACACTGTATTTCTGCAAGCCATCTACATCGTGTTGTGACGCCAGCACATCCCACACGCTGGTCCGCCAGTTCCCACTACACGCCCATTGGGAAGCCTACACTCTAACCGCCCTTTGAAACCCCTGTGGCATTCTCAGCCCTGCTTCCTTCGCGTTGCACGGAGCTAAAGCTTTCTGGCACCCAGGACCGGTTAAGGCCCCCAACAGGATTGTGGTTCACGGGATCGAGCAGCTACTGGCCGTTTGGACACGGTGAGTCCCGTTGCAATATGGAGCTTGTTATCCAGACCACTTTATCCATGCACCGCCCTGCCAATAAAAACTCGTGCGTCCAGCATCTTGATCCTCTTGCTGCGGTCCATCGAGTGCTGGTGCTTCGAGGCTGGCCCATTACTTGAATTGCTGCGACGATCCGTGCTTATTCTACGGATTTAACACTATCCATCTGCCCATTCGTGTGCCATCTTGATACTTGATATCCCCCTACTACACTCGCTCTCCTGCGTAATCTGCCCATTGCGGTACACGACCTTGTAGCACTCAACTCCATATACGAACTAGCACCTCCAATCCTAATCGCAACTCCATCAGTGAAGAAATCTTGCAAGATGCGGAACAATGCACTCCAGGCTCGACAAACAATGGCTACCTCGACTTCATCATCAGTCGTTCAGCCTACCATAACTTTAGCCCTCTCAACGACCTTTACTCCAGCTGCATCGTGTTCATCAAACAAGCTTACCTTACTCCCACCTCCAGGATTCTTCATATGGGCTAATGTGAGCTCGAACCTTTGACTCCCCGACAAGATGCCTGATAAGGATACTAATAATGCTTCCATGCGTTTAGGAGCCAGTCCCACATGGCAACACAACGGTCACCAACTGCTATCCACCAGAATTTCTCGAAAGCTATACTTCCACCACTTCCAAAGAATTCGGCTCCTCCATCGTCCCGGTGATGAGCCCATTGGTGTGTCCGGCAAACTTCTGCACAGTACGCGGGACAAACGACAATTACATCGCCTGCTGTCCTAGTGGGTACAGTTTCGCGGATCCTGCGACGCCCTCGATTCGCGACCGTCCATACTATGGGGGAACATGCTATAGCAATTTTGTCTTGTCGCAAACAGTCACAGTCACCAGATACGACGAGGAAGGCCGAACGCACGTGGAGCCGTGGGTGGAGACAACGACGACGGACCAAGCATTTGCACATCCCATTGATGGATTTGCTCCCACATTTCCGACGCTTGGATGTCCTGGCGATGCTACTTCATCGATGAGCGGCTCCAATTCGACAGCGGTGCCTTCCTCCTCTGGTGGGCCCAACCCTGCTACAGGGAGCGACTCGTCCAGGGATTCGAGCAAAATGTCTTCTGGTGCAATCGCAGGGGCAGTTGTAGGCTCCATTGCCGGTCTGATCGCTATTATCGCAATCGTGGTTCTCCTTCTTCAACGCCGCCGAAAACAACAGCAATCGGAGCACACGCAGGAAGCATATCAATTTGCGGACGACGTTTCCAAACACCACTATGAAAAGGATTCACAAGCGGCTGTTGCTGAAATCGGAGACTCATCACGTACCTATGAATTAGAATCTCCACCAGCACAGACGGACTCGGAACCTGTATACGAAATGCCTTCGGACAGGCCTTCTCAGGGACCAGGACCGAACTCATCTGCGCAAGACAAAAGCCAGTGACAGTGCAGCATCTTTTTGCAAGAGCTGAACATTACCGTATAGTAGAAGCACGCATAGAAGCATCTTGACCGTATCGACTTGCCGACGCCGTTTCTCGACGCTCATGCGTTGTTCGAGGCCGCTCGAGGTAGTTGGAGACAGAGTCTTATTTGCATGGTCTCATCCTACGTGTACAGACCCATACCGCCAGGAGAACATGGTATCGCATGTCGTGTCGGATATCACGATGAGACGAAAGTGTGAGGGAATCATAATGTGTATTAGTACGAGCGATCGCGATTAGGTGGCAGCATAGCGTGTCCCAAGGGAGCATTTCAGACGAGTTGAAGGGAATGAGAGAAGTCAACATGCATTTCATGACCAGGAATAAACTGAAGCAATGGGAATGTGCGATCTTCATAGAACATTTGTGCTGTGATGGATAGGCCTCGGAACGATTGTGGGGAAAGGGGGGAGGGGGGAGTCCGGGCCGAGCTGAAAACTAGGTGAGTTAGCGCATTCCCTACGTTAATTCTCACCTCCGCAATTGCTTCGGAGATCAATTGTCCGAAACCACTATCACGATCTCATACCCTGTCCAAACGCTTTGTCTGTGCAACGACTTGAACATCAACTTGAATCTCCTGTAGCACTGTACATATCAGCCATATATTAGACGAATCGCAAGCTATCATGTCGCTTGAGCAGAACATTCGGCGTGCACTAGAAGTGTTATTACCCGCGATTCGAAAACGTCACGAGACATCACCAGAACCCATCATTCTCGGCATTACTGGTCTTCAAGGATCGGGGAAGTCAACTTGGGCATCGAAGATTGTTGAAATCCTCACTTCGGAACACCAGCTATATACAATAACGATTTCGTTGGACGACCTTTACAAGACGCATGATGCTCTGGTAGCGCAGCGAGAACAAAACCCAGAGAATAAATTGTATCGCACTCGTGGACAGCCCGGGACACATGACGAACAACTGGCCGGCAGATTCTTCAAGGATCTTCGCGAGTACACGGGAAAAGGCCATCTCAAGATACCCAGTTTCGATAAGAGCAAGTTTCAAGGCGAAGGTGACCGAGCTCCAGAATCAGCATGGCCAACCCTAACACGAAAGCCTGATGTCGTTGTGTTCGAAGGCTGGTGCGTTGGCTTCCAACCTTTGCCCGCATCCATGATTGAAGAGAAGTTTGGTCTGGCCTTGTCTGGGAAACTGGCCATCAACACGCCTGCGAAACACCAACTTGCGCATCTCTTAGAGGTCAATAGGAATCTAGAGCGCTACTGCGAAGCTTTTATGGGACCCCGGTATTTCGACTTCTTCATTCACATCGACACTCAGGACCTGCGGCATGTATATACGTGGCGCCTCCAACAAGAACACAAGATGATTGAGACCAAAGGCTCGGGCATGTCGGATGAACAAGTCAGATCGTTTGTTGATGGGTATATGCCAAGCTACGAGTTGTATCTGGATCAGTTGCGTCAGGGAATTTTCGAGGATAAGGGTAGAATGGTTCGAGTGGTCTTGGATAAGGACAGGGCTGTTGAGAGGATTGAGCAGTTGTGAAAGCTTGGTGATACCCTATTTTGTGGTTGTGGTTGAGCAGCACATCTCAATTCGCTTATACTTGGACCTCAAATTGCATTGCTACAGTGTATGACAGAACGGTGATCTTATCGTGTACCTTATGATGTACAATTTTTTGACCTTGAGCGGGTGACAGTGATGGAGCGCAGAGACATACGTTTTGCATCCCAAGAATGTTCCTTTCACCCAAGACCCTTGATCGATCAAGCAACCAACACTGTGGCCAAGGCACATGAGTTCTCCTTGCCTATGAATCTACTCCGATATGTCTAAGATCTGGAGAATCCCCTTGCACTATATCAGAACCTCCCCGGCTACACCATGAACACACAACCTCTTTGATCGAAAAGCCCAACCAGATAATCTCTTCAAGGCCATCGCCTCGGACATCCAAATACAGCCATCATTTACACCTTCCCTACTGTTACAATAGGGCAGGTAGTTTACACCCCGCAGATTCTGCTACACCGCATGCAAGACTTCTTGGAAAGCAGCTCTCCGAAAATCCTTCGAGACCACAACCGTTTATCTCGTCTCTCGAACTAGCAGATCGTCCAAGAGTATAAGCTTGAGCATGATCCGATGCCGTTCCCTGTTATCGATACTTATGACAGTAAAGACGTCAGTGACTGCAACGCCAAGGGAGATCCATCTAATCAGCCACACAACTGAGTAAACAGCAACCCCTAGTTTTGCTTCCACAAGCACGAGCTACTCTGCGAGCAAACCCCATATCCAATGTAATTCTTGAAATTTGCCGTCACAAGTACTGCTCAACTTTGAGCATTGACATTGGAGTCCGCATGGATTGTGAATTGATAGGAGTAGGCATGACCGCGGGAAAGACAAGTATATGGCTGATATTATGGCTAAAGTAGAGATAGCACTGATGGTGAAGAGCGCTTCTACGACTGTGAAGGAGCATTTTACGACCGCCAAAGAGCCATCATCAACAGTAGAGAGCGCATCTACAACCAGGAGCCGCAATGCGCAAGTGTCTGACAACTCTCCACCAGACAACACCAAGGACAGCCCAGCCATGTTCAAATTTCCGGGGTCTGTCGACTATTATCGCCCCGACGACGGCTGTGTCACAGAACCACCTGAATGTCTTTCACACATTGAGATAAACGAGTGGGCGGAAAAAGTTTCGCGTTGGAAGCCAGGCCACAGATCTCTGGGTGTATTCCGCAAAGTCACTCTTAATCTCTAAGCGCACCGTACAGTCTGTTCGATACTAGCCACGACAATTTCAACCCTGTCAGAGCCGCACAACACATCACTGATCCCCCGCGCTATTCCACACATTCATCCCATCCACCAACCCGATCCCGCGCTACACGCAGCCACGCCCTCCCACCCTTATCATACCCGAGAGACAGTCACCCGGTGATAACAAGTAACCTGGAGTTTCCCCCGACCGGCACAATCCTCCTTTCGGCAGCGAAACAGCGGCTCAGCATGCGAGCAATCTATCGAAGTATAGCAGTACATGCAGGGCCACATGGTCACGCACGCATAGCCCGCTTTAATCCTCTTGATTGTGTCCCTGTTATACTCCATCAGCAAAAATTGCCACTGGGATGCTGGCGGTGGAGACTCGAGGTTTGCTGCTTACTTCCAGTGTTGGATGTGCGAGGGTGTGAGGGCGTGGGAGGTTGGGGGGTCGAGGGTGGCGCGGGACATTTGTTTGGTGGTTGGGGGGGGAGGATGGAGAGCTTGTGGGAGGGGATTTTTGGTGGGCTTTGTTGTTTGGTATGGGGGATCGAGGTGTTGGGTCTTGTGGTGTGAGGTGTGTAGACGTCGAGTTACTGTTTCGCTGCTTGTTCGATAATTGTGGTGTGGTGGACTTGAGTCGTGTGCTTTCACCGTGAATGCAGGTTTGGTGATTTGGCGTTTTGTGCTGGAGCAGCTCTGACTCTCACATATCGGCCATGTGGCTACTTTGTTGAAGCACAGCAAATTTGGTAGATGTAAGTCCTCGGGTTTGGGGCCCAGCAGGCTCCTTCACATTTTTATACAATGGCAATATTCAATCGCTTTCCTACACCTCTTGTGACGATACTTTCCCTGTCAAAATCACATCCACGTTTCACAGACGCGCATATCGTATCTGGCCGAGTCGACAGAAGGACCTACATGAACGCTGGATCGATTTCGTTCAAGGATATATAACCTATCTTACAGTCATACATTCAAAACTAGGCTCCTGTACAATAGCAACAATAACACCTCAAGCTAGCGTGTTGCATCAACAGGCTCCAAGCAAACGAACCTATGCATGGACCACGGCCACAAGTATCCCACCCACGAGTCCCAATCGACAGTAGACTGAGACATCGCTCCGGCATCAGTTTAGACAGCAACGCTAGTCCCTGAGCTACAGGGCATAACCACGCAAAAAGACTGAGTGACCGAGGGTTGTGTCCGCTAGACGGACCTAGAAACGATCCTGCTGTAATAAGAAGAGAAAGATGGGATAACAAATACGCACTAGAGTTTCACCGTGCGTTTGGTACGGCTGGTGCTCAGCGAAGAGTTGGCTTGGATTGTAGAAGACAATGGGATGTTCACATGTGTTGGCCGTTTGCTAGTGACAGTGGAGGATATATGACCAAGTACGAGCGTTATTATAGGTACAATAGTATGCTTTTCTATTGTCAGTAGTTCTCTGTATCGAAGTATATACCTCACTGCTGTACTAAAATATTTTCTTGATATCCCATCCACTCTTTACTTTCACCCTATACACCATCCACAACACCCACCGCCACAATGCCGCACCGCCAACAGAAACCCTCCACCCAAAAACAAAAAAACATTCCCTTCTCCAACTTTCTACCCCTCATCGCCGTCATCCGCGCCGACCTCGGTGCAGACTGGGCTTTTTACGAAGAATTCCTGGAAAGCGTGGTGGACGCTGCTGGCCGCGGCGAGGACAGTTCGGCGTGGTACGAGCAGATGGAGGCTCTTGTGGGTGATCAAGTGAGCTTGCGGTTTTCACACGAGGGTGTTTGTGTTTTGCTCCGTGGGCTGGAGGGGAGGGCGCGGGAAGGTGTGTTAAGTCGGAGATGCCGGGGTTGGCTTCACTTTTCTTTGTACTGATGAGTGTAGTGTTGGATTCTGCGGATAGATCGCTTCGGCATGGAGCGCCTGCTGGGAGTATGGTGGGTGAGGATAACGCCCGGTGTATAACCTCGCGTTCCCGGGACGTTGGTGTAGGTTTGATGCTGCCGCCCTCATCTGTACAGAAGGCTCGCAAGGCTTCGAGACACTCCCCCACCGTCTCCTCCACCGTCTCCCCCAATGTCTCCTCGACCCTCCCCCCCACTCCCTCCTCGACCCTCTCCTCTTCCTCCCCCCACCCCACCCCCTCCTCCAAAAACGACTTCACCCCCCCCTTCTTCACAGACCCAACCTTCCATTCCGAAATCAACAAATACTTCCGCCCCCTTGAAACTGCATACAGCACCCCCGACCAGGCCAAACATGGCGTCGCAGAAACAGGCGATGGCTATGAGGAACCCGCGTACTTTGCAGAGGACGACGACCTTGCGGTGTGGAGGAAGCATGTCGAGGATGGTAATTGGCTTCTCTAGTGCGTGTGCGGGGCTGTGTGTGGTTTGGGCTGGGCTGGGCTGGGCTGGAATTGTAGGGAGGGGGATGTATTTATTCAAATTCGAAAACGAATGAAAGTGAGAGGGGCTAGTCCGTTTTGCGAGGTCAGTGTGGCGTTGCCTGTAACTACGGGCTTTCAGCGAGTTTTTTGTATAGCATGGAACCGAGAAAATGTTTGACAGTCTATGTGTTGTACTCGTGCACCCGGCCCGAGTTTCTATGTGTATATCTATGGAGGCGTCGTGTCGGGGGAGGTGTTGTATAACTCGGGTTCCAACATACGGTCTGCATGATTCCTGCAGTGGAGTGATTGTGCCACATGCAATTGGACGGCAATAACATGCAGACGTACGATTTACATGCTCTGCTTGTGCGAGCCCAACCCATCAAGAGTTTGATTGGATCTCTGTAACAACTCTAGCAACAGTCTCATGGAGATCGTCTTCTTGCAAGCCGAGCAGGGAATTTGCAAATCCTTTTTTATCCTTCCAGTCCGAGGCAACGACGCCCCAAACTGCAACAACCTCTTCTCTCGCTTCCCCATCACCGGCGAGCATCTTGGGCCTTGAAACGTTCAATTCTTCCTCGCTGCTCTGCTCGATTCTCTCGAATTGCTCGCCTGTGGCGGTCTCTAGCGCGGCCAGGAGCTCGAGCTGGGTTACGTAGTTGCTGTGAACGTACAGGAGCTTGTTTGCCGTCTCATCTGGCTTTTGCAGGATCTTGAGCACAGCCTTGCCGATGAAGGCGAGATTCGAGGCGGAGAATTTGATGTTGCCGCCGTCGAGGATGTATGCTTTTCGTGCCTTGAGGTCAAACTTTAGTAGCCCGCATGTTAGGCCGTAGTCGAAGAAGTGGCCGGTGACGAGACTCGTCCACGTCAGGCTTGATCCGTCGTCGCGCTTCTTGCTTTCTAGTGTGACGAGGTAATCTCGTACATCCTTCTTGCCCTTCATGAGTGGTAGAATCTCATTGGTCTTGTCGTCTGCAGAGTCGCAACTGCCAAACTCTGCAGGCATGACGCGCTTGACACCGGCTTTGAATGCGGCATCGATGAGCTTCTTTTGCGACTCCACGTGACTACCTGCAATGGTGATGATGAGGGCATCGATTGCGTTTTCTTTCAAGGCCTTGGCCACTTCATCGACGTTCAAATCATCAGGAATGGTGATTACTTTGGTCTTGGGGTACACGGATTTCGAGCTCTGGCGATTGAGGACCGAGATGTTGAATTCAGATGCCTTTAGGGCTTTGAGGACGGGAGCGCCCAGCGTTCCGGTACCGCCAATTAAGGCGACATTTTTGATTGCCATTGACATACGGTTGGAGGTAATGAGTACTTTTTCAGATTGCGCCGGTGAGAGCCTAGAGCGTTGTGGCAGAAATAAAGCTGTCAGTATAAAGTACATAGGCAAGGTAGCAAGATCCATCGAGCACTGGCGCGCCACCTCCGGCGCTAGAATCAGGCCGCCACATCACGTCCTGTGGCGGTCGCTGTGGTGTGGGACGCATCTAAATAACATCTGCACAAAGCGGACAAAGATCAGATGTATTCCACAAGCTAATCCTCGCTTTACAAGGGAATAGGGAAGATGGGAAGATTCTCAGTTTCAGATTACCGAGGACGTGATGCTGATGGTCCGGCGTCATTTGTGGTGGTTCGACAATGAACATCAAACAACAGTCACGCCATTCGATCTTACGACCGACCACACCACCTCGCGGACGAGGTGCTCAGCAAAACGGAGGGCTTTATTGTGAAAAGCGGATTTTGTATATATGGGCCCATCCCGACGTAACTACTATTTACTGCAACGATACTATCACCGCATAATATCAAACTACACCTCGGTTCCCTACCGACGAATTCGCTCAGATCTGGACAAACTCCGAGTCGGTTTCGAGAATCAAGAAAAGCCCATTCCACGATAACAAACTTCACAATTGGCCAAAATGGTACCACTCAGCCGCCGACCGATGCAACACATTGACCGCAGGGACTTGTACACCAACCTAGAAACACGAATCCAATACCTCCACTCCTTCCTAGACTTCAGCTCACGTACGCCACCCATGCCCACTGCGCAAGAGTGAACTACAGATACAGCCGACTAACAAAAACCCCCCCAACAGGAGACATTGAAGCCCTCAGCACCGGCTCAAAATACATCCGCGCCCTGATCCCCGCCGTCGTCAACATCGTGTACAAGAAACTCCTACAGTACGACATCACGGCGCGGGCGTTTGAAACGCGGTCGACGTCGTATGAAGGGCCTGTGGATGCCAATCTCTCCGAGGACTCGCCCCAGATTCTGCACCGAAAAATGTTTCTACGGGGCTACTTGAATAAACTCTGCAGCGACCCGAGCACCATGGCGTTTTGGGAGTACCTGGATAAAGTCGGGATGATGCACGTGGGGCAAGGACGGACGCACCCGTTACATGTCGAGTATGTGCATATTGGGGTGACGCTGTCGTTTATACAGGATGTCATCACAGAAGCGTTGCTTTCGCATCCGCGGCTGAAGATGGAGCGGAAGATTGCATTGATCAAGGCGCTGAGCAAGGTGATTTGGATTCAGAATGATCTTTTTGCAAAGTGGTATGTCAGAGATGGGGATGAGTTTGCGGAAGAGCGACTTGTGCCGGAGATTGAGCCGGAAGGGTATTTGCATGGGAAGAAGATGCTGCAGGAGGACGGTGGGAGTGAGGAAGAGGAGTCGAATACGGAGGGTGGGTCGTGCCCGTTCAAACACTTGTCAGCGCCCGCAGGGACAGGTGGAAGTGGCGATGATGCATTGCGGAATAGTATGGAAGGGCTGAGCCTCGAAGGCTCTTGAGTGGATTGTACCTACATAAAGTAAAGTCATACGGTCCTGGAGTTGTGTACATAGTGAAAGCAGCGAGCGTGTATCTAATAACATTACGTACTATCATGACATCTATCCAGAATCGCCATACCTAATATGGTCTATGGCCAGTCGGTAGTTGGGCAAGTTATTGTATTTGACTTGGGTCCTGGCGACCCTACGTAAGTGGTGTCGACAATAAGATCTGACACTACTCTATGGTCCGCTTGTGTACAACTAGAATAGGCAACCAGCACCGTAACAACGGATCTGTCCGTCACTACTTTTGCAGTATGGGGTTAGACGCAGTCACGGGAAGAAGCACAGGGGCAACGGAAGTACTTTCGGTAGTACCATAGATTGTAAATGGATGGACTCGCCGGAATCTTGATACTGTACCGCAGCTTACTATTCGTGTTTTGTCGTCAGCATTCTTGCTTCCCACCCGAAGCCTCACTTCCATCAGATTCTTCGCCTCCCGGTGCCAACGTATGGCAGAGGTGCTGTTGAGTCATCGCAACAAGAGGCCACCTTGCATTTGTCATGATGCAATGGGGCCAACTCGAAAGGCGTAAAAGTCACATGATGATATCAAAAAGGTGTGATGTTATGGGACGAGGGCCATGGTGGTGTTGAGGACTGTTTCAGGCGTGGCGTCTGAGTGGATCGGTCATTGTGGCCCGTTGTGGGTAGTGGCATTAAGGTCTGCTTGGCGCTGCACACCCCAGTTTCGATAAAGACAGTTCTGGCGCAAGGAGAGGAGGACGAGGACGAGGACGAGGACCTTGATGTTCCGCTAGGATGCGCGGCTTTTGCGCTGGCTCTTTGAACACGACGGCTGCTCAAGAGTCAAGAGGTTGCCTTTCTTTGTCTTGGACTGTGCCATGTCGTGACCCGCCCGTCGTCAGCGGTGAAAGTCTGCATGTGCGGTCTGTCTGGGCTCTCCACGTTCCGAGCATTCCGTGATATTCCGCGATATCGCTTACTGTACTTCAGCCCTGTATGTGAGTACTGTGTATGACCAGTAGGCTACGCGATCATGATATCTTGCTTTGTTTCGCGCATCCCAAGAAGGCGCTGCTTAGTGGACAGGAGGTACTACACTGTAGGTACTACTCTGCACATGACAGTACCTGTCCTATGGTCCAATGTGCATCATAAGCCGCGTGTGCACCCGTCGCAACCGTCTCAAACGTCTCAACCAACCGTCTGCGGACCGATAACTGCAAAAGCAATGTAGGTGTGCATGTCCTCTTGAGCAAGATTTGGCACTTGTCTCAAGACCAACAGGCTACTCCACGAGGGAGAGAGAGGAAGAGAAATAGAGAGAGCTGTCCAACGCTGAGTGGATGACTCTCTCACCACCTGTCAGTCATCCCACGTATTCGTTTTGTTGTGAGGGTCCGGCGACCGCGGAGTCGGGGTGTCTGCCGGGCCAGAGATGACAACAAACACTGCTGAGACGGGGACGGGGTGTGAGTCGCCCAACGTTTGGCTGGTCGCGGCTTTAGCGACGCGGCGACTCCATCATGATGTCGACCTGCGCGCAGAGCTAAACTCTGTGCTGTATATCTTTGTGACCCGCAGCGCTGCAGGTGGGCAGGTGTATGTGTAGTGGTGGTGGTTCGAATGCGTACGACTCTTTTTTCCCTTCTTCTTTTCTATACCCATTCTGAATCATCACCGTGTTTTCCTCCTCTGGGCAAGCAGGATTCCACAGGTCAAGACTCGCCCCGTCTTGAGAATGCAAGGGCGACTGAGTCCGATGAAGCCAATCAGGGGAGATGGGCCGCGACACCCCTGCTAGTCTCTTTGCCCTGCTACGCATCGGGAATAGTGTGGCCCACTCGCAGTGTTCCATGGAAACTGCGAGCGACGATTCCCCCGTTGCCCCTCCCCCCCATTCTCACAGAAGGAAGTCGCGCATCACTCCCAAAGCCCCAAATCCCAACTCCCCCAAATCCAACACCAACATCCTACCCCCTCCCACCACCACCACCAAACAATCATCTTCCCCCCCCCTCCCCCCCTTCCGCCCACGCCCTATCCCCCACCCCCTTCTTCTTCTTCTTCTTCTTCTTCTTCTGCTCCCACCAACAACGCTGCGACGGCATTGTAGTAGCGCTGCACAGCTGTAACAAAGCCCGCCTCTCCTGTAAATCAAATCACGACTGATTTTCCTGCCCTCTCTCGCGCTGGTGCGGCTACTTTTCCCTTATCAAAGTGGCCGTCGATCCTTGCGCCTCCTGCAACCACGTCACCATCACAACGGCTTAACTGCTTGTTGCTCTCCTTCTCCCACTCCTTCGCCCACATTTGATACCCACTACCCCCTTTTAATACTTTTCGTCCCCCCTTCCCTTCTACACCACCTCGCGAAAAAAAGTGTGTTGTCGGTCCTGCAGCCCCACACCGCACAATCCATTGAGCTTCCTGGACTTTGATGCGCCCGGCTACCAACACAGCAGATGAGCTCTGTTCACTCTAGGCTTCCACTTCTATCCTCATCATGCAGTCCATGTTTCGTCTTGCATGGAGCACAGAGTCGCCTGGCGACAAAATCATGGAAAAAGCAACGCTGCACAAGTCCAAGCAAATGCCAATGATTGAGATTCCAGACTTCATGAGCAAAATCAAGCGGAAAAGGACAGACAGTCCCGAGCCAGCATCGGCACAGCATGCGCAGTGGGTGAAGAAGTGGAAGAGCGCGCAGGGTGAGGCGCGGCCAGCCGTTGTCGAGAATGCCGCTTCCTTAGATGTAGTGGTGCCTGGGTCTGCAGAAGGTCAAGAGCTGCCTAGTACCGCGTCTGCAGAGGTCATCAACTCGCGACCAAAGGCGCAACCGTCAAAGAAAGAGACTGCAACCAAGGTCATGGCCCCCAAGCCTCAACCATCAGCCACCGCACCTGACGCTACAAACACGCCAGCTACTACCATGGAAACAGGACTGACGGCTGTGCAACAAGCCATCGAGGCACAGATCAACTATGAAATCCTCTTGAAGCATAACGAACTTCGTCTTATCGAACAGGAGTTAGCCAAGTGCCAAGCCTCCCTGGAGCAGCTGCGACGCTGTACACTGGTCCCGTATCCTGGTACCCATGGCCTTTCCGAAGACGTGAGTCTAGGTACTGGACCTTCTCTACAGCCTCCTGCTGGTATGACGGAGCCTCCCTTTGCCGCTCCTTGGGGTGTCACAGACGGTCCTTATACTCGTCACTACGCCAAATGGTTGATCGATGACCCCAGGTTCACTCCAACCTCCGAACGTGCGTTGGCGCAGCAAGCTCACGGTTACTTTGGCGTGGGTGAAGGCAGAGCGACGCGCGGCAGCTTTGCAGACCACGGTTCTGCAAGTAGAGGTCGCACGTCGCGAACTTCGACTGGAATGTTGAAGCTCACGCCTCTCGGTGAAACTCCAGCGCCTACGCCAAAGATGGACCCGCTGCTGCACAAGCGCTCCACGGACGGTCAATGGGTACGGCTCTATTGCGCCAAGTGTCAACACAGCAATTTCTCGAATACCCAGGGCTTCCTCAATCATTGCCGAATCAAGCACAGCGACGTCTACAAGAGTCACGATCATGCAGCTATTGTCTGTGGCGTTCCTGTAGATGCTAGCGAGATTGGCACCACAGTCACTGCGAGTGAGCCACCTAATACGGCAAACAGCGTTCCTGCAGTCACCTTCCCCGTCCCAGCGACGCCTGGCATTGTGAATTCACTGGCATCGCAGACAACCCCGGCTCCACGAGCCAAGACTGTGCATCGCAATCCTAGCATCTCCTCAGTCGGACCACCCAAACCTGTTGAACCGGCGACTTCGGTGCCCTCTTCGTCAACACCGTACCTGGCGGCTCGGGCTCAGAACAGCGGCTTCACAGGCGACCTCCCAGCCCTTGTTGCCATGGCGAAATCCAAGGTGGACCTAGACGCCATCGAGCATTCTGATGACGACAGCGCGGATACTAGCGCAGCTCCGACACCGGTCACCGCCAAGCCAAGCCAGGCACGCTTCCCGCCTACCAACGGACAAGCGAGCAAGGCACCAACAGCTCGCCCAGGCAGCAAGAAAGGCACCGGAAGCCAAGCACGTCTACCAATGTCAATTCCATCATCAGCTTTGTCTCATGATGATCATCACATGCCAGATTCTCCGGTTGGTCTCAGTCCTCATACAGCTGAGTCTAACCCTGGTCTAGTAAGCGACCATGATGACGACGACGACGAAGATGTGGACGATGCGCGTAGCCAACCTGACTTGCTCCTGCACGACGACGATGTGGTAGTCGAGGACGCTAGTGATGTTGAAGGTGCACATGAGCGTGCGGGTACTCGTCCGGGATTGAGCTGCTTCGAGAAAGGCGAGACTAGTCGCAAGCATTAGACGGCACGGGCAAGTTGATTCAAGGCTCTCCCTGTTTTCCGTTGCGCATGTCCTGTCTGTTTCTCTTCATCTTTGACGATTTCCGCTTCATTCTTCCACCCTTTCCTGTGGTATAGAGTTGCTATTTCTCTTTCTTCCTCTCCTTGGGCTTGGCTGTTTGTCTCTTAACGATACACTTTGTCAGCTACGATTTGAGACGGGGTGCTTGGGTCATCTGGTCGAAACGAGCTTTTCTAGCTTGAGCGATCGATGACTGTAGTTTTTCATTTTCTAAGAGCGCCAACATCCATCAAAAAATCTCATCTCACGAACACCTCAACGGTTGTTCTGTAGGCGCTGGAAACGTCATGTATTATCACCCCTTGTATTGAAACGGTAAATGATAGGGGACCTGGGGGTTGTAGACTGAGGTGCTGGTACACTGCTTCGTGTGCCATCTCCGGACACTCGACCCTTGCGGGTCAAACAAAAACCAATGGGCGTAACAGTCTGTTGTTGTATATACTTAATGTTATGAGAACTCGAAAATGGAGTACTATTGTATTCTTCAACATGTGCAAATTGCCGTCAGGTTGCACAATAGGTCTTGCCACAGGCCTCTCAGTGGGAGGTGATGACTTGATATCCCCCAACGCTCCTCCTGATTCATTCTGCAGACCTCATTAAACCGTGCATGACACAAGGTCTATAACGCCAATAACGCCTCGCTTCAAACTCCCTCCAAATCCCTAGGCTGATCTGCTCATACGCCATGGCTCCGTGATGATCGTTGTTCGTGACAGTTGTCATCTTCAAGCCATGAACTCAAGTGCCTAGCCATAATTAGTCCTCGGGTCCATCACGTTCTCCGCTAAGGAACTCCTTACAGCCATGATCACGCAAGCGATGCTCACGTACGGACTCAGCCTCTCTCCCACGCGTGCCGCCTTCCAAAACGGCGAGACAAAGTAGTTGTCCTTGTTGCGGTCTATCACGCCAGGCGAGAGGGAGTGTGCGTACGTCGACGTGCAAATGGTGAGGAGGATGACGAGGAGGAGGGACTGGAAGTTGAAGAGTGCTGTCTGGTTTTGTCTATTAGCCAGTTGACTACCATGTATAGTACGAGGGTATGGAGAGGTGGTGTACCATGATGGCGGCTCTGTTGCTGTGTCGCAGGGGGGGGGGTAAACTTGAGTGTTTCAAGCCAGTGACGAGGGGCCCAGAAGTATGCACCTATATGGTAGTATATTCGTACTGTGGCTTGTGATGCTTCTCGTCCCAGATAGATGTCGATGTCATGTGTCGTCGTCGGGGACTTTGCCTCCACGCCTCGGTGGGGGAAAATCGTTCACGCCGATGCGCGTTGCAACGGCCCGTGCAGATCTTCCCACTTCCCACTTGGGAAGATCGTCATTATCAAATGCAGCTACTCCCTACAAGCACAAGCACAGGGACACAGCACATCTAGCCTTCTTCCACATACACACACACGACTTCGTTTGACCCGGTTCGCATCTACGAAAGGACCACAGATCCCGCGCTGCGTACACTGGTTGGATCGATAGGGTTTTGCAACACCACCACGACTGGACGCGACTGGATCACGTTGGACACGGCACGACTGGTGCAAGAGTGAGACAGAGCACAACGAGGGCCAATTGGGAAAGCGCCCGTAAGAGTGGGAAGACGACCAGCACATTATGACAGAACCACGGATGCGGTTGCGCCAAAAAGGCCAGCAGTTTCCAACGCAGGATTGTAAGTGAGGTCTGGGATTTGACATTCACTGCACGTTTGAGTAGAGCGTTTGCGCTGCGACTTGATCGTACTGCCTCAGAAGCCTTGAACTCCCTCTCCCTCATACTACCCCTCTACCTTTCCCATCACTCAGGGTCGTGTCCAACAACCTCAACTCGCGATCATGCCCGTCGCTCCTCTCCCGCGCGTCCCGCTGAAGCGTACCCACAATTCGGCCTCTGAAGCCCTTCTGACCCCTTCCTCAGTAGAAGCCTTCCTCTTGGCCTTTGGCGACAACGACTACCCTCTGCCAGAAACGGTGCGTGTCTTGGATGAGATTATAACCGACTACATTATCGAAACGTGCCACGAAGCCGCCTCGGTCGCACATCACGCGCGCCGCGCCAAAATTAAGCTCGACGACTTCAAATTCATGCTGCGGCGCGACACAGGCAAGCTCGGCCGTGTAAGCGAGATGCTTGAGACGGATAAGGAGCTCAAGCGCAAACGCAAGGCATTTGACACGGATGAGGGCGCTGTGATGGCGGACAAGGGCGATGGAGCGAATGGGGCGGAGGGCGGCACGAAGATGGGTCGCCCTAAGAAGGTGGCTGAACCGGGGGCCGGAGGCGAGGGTGATGGGGAGCCTCGCAAAAAGAAAAAGAAGAAGAAGGCTGGGGATGGAGGTGGTGATGATGCGAGTACGGTGCGTAGTGGATGAGGCGGTTTGGGTTGTCCATGTCCTAGACACTCGTCGCCCTTGTCGAGTTCTACACCTCGCCCATATCCGCTGATCGTGGTCTATGAAGTGCTCATGATCACTATAGCACGAGACGGCAGGTGGAAGACACGTTCCTCGCAATCTGGTCCGTTGAAGACCCATCGCGCGAAAGACATGACTCCTCTACCAGAAGTCTCGGCCCCGCTAGCAGGCTTGCAGAACAACACTCACTGCAAGTCGCATACCGACACCATCCAATCTGTACCATTCATTCCTCACCGGTCCGCCAGGTCAAACAGAAAGGAAATGGGAGAAAACCCACAGGTCTAACTCGAGCCCTAGTACCTTCTCCCTGCACCTCCTCCCATCGCTTCCAACAGCGTCCCTGCAGACCAGACCAGACCAGACCAGACCAGAATAGAAAAGAAAAGCAATGCCCAAAAAATGCATCTCCATCATCACCTCTCCCCAGACACAAGCGTATGTGACTTCCCCCCCTTAGATCTTCGGATATCATACTTTCGCGCCACCGGCCACGTATACCTGTATCGCGTACACATGCGGGTGGCATTATATTCCATGGCAGAATTTTTTTTTGGTGGGGGGAGGCTATTCGCGTGTACCGAACTGTGCATCAGGGGGAACTGGATAAAAGGGTTCTTGTGCTTTTTGGCTTTCGTCTTGCATGTTCTTTTACATTTTTCTGGCTTTTATATTTTTATTACGGTTTTGTGGGTCTTGTTGGCAAAGGGGTTTGGGCGTGCTTATACGCATACACTCTCGAGTCTGTCGAGTCTCTCGAGTCTCTCTGCAGGTTTCCGTACGCGCAACGTGCGTATCGTGTTGCAGCGGTTCGGATCGAATTATATCAAGGCAGGAACTTCCGTGTGGTCGAAATGCGGGACTTTGAGTTGCAGGGTTCGTTTATCCCCCTATTTTTTTTGTTGGCCTTCTTGTGGGATGTGCGTGTGCGTGGATGGGTGTGCTAACATGTGGATCTGTAGCGTTGAGCGACGATGGAGCGCATGAGGAGGGTGTATTGGAGGGGTTTGCTGAGGGTGTAGAGACGGGGGATTTGCAGGGTTGGGAGGGGAGATGTGAGTTATTTTTTATGAATTTCTTGGTGGAGGATGGTGAGGGTGTTGGTGGCTTGGATATTGTTTGCTGTGCACACTCTAATCGCGACTCCTGGCCGG